AGGATCCCGGCCTAGGTACCCAGGTTCGGTCATAAGACGTTACAGATAATGCGTGTTTATACAGTTCGGTAAAATAGGAAACATACACTGAAGTCTGTGACATTGATAGTTAGGACGGACCAATAGGAATCGACCAATAAAATCACACTTACAAACGATTATCTTAGGATATTGGATGAATATCCTAACAAGAACCCAGTGAGTTTCGATCTTAAGCACGAACGTGTAACTTCTGGAATTATAGAAGTTTAATAAAACTTGAAGGGTCTTGAAGTTTTTCCGTCTAGTTAGATAGTGATTACGGACATGGTATAATCTTTCATATTAGCGTCAAAAAAGTGGTTTACGACTGGTTACCCTAGCTTTTTAGTATTACCCCGACTGATAACAACCCATGATGAAAGTAAACTTGATTGCATATTCACTGGTTTTTATATTGCTTACTTTCTTACGCCTGTTATCCCTAATGGAGCATAGGCCGCCGCCGATCAGCATTCTTCAACCTACTCTATTTCACGACCTTCCTTTCCAGTTCTAACCGGTCGCTGTTCATTCTTTGCATGTCTGCTTCTAATTCTCGGCTCAATGTGTTTTTTATTGGTCTTCCTCTTCCCCTTTTAACCTCGAAGATTCCAACTGAGGGTTTGTCATGTGCTTTTCCTTGAAGTGTGTTGTATCCACCTACGGCGTTTTTTTTCGAATTTTCTTCCTCGGTTGGAATCTGGTTTGTTCTCTCCCACAGTTCTCCTACAGTTGCTGATTAGTGTTTGGCCAGTGGATCCGAAGTAATTTGCGCAGACAACTGTTTTTTATTTAACTCGTAAATATTACCCAATTATTCATAAATTTTTTATATTGTTTCGACAAACATAAAATCTAAATAATTCATCGTCAGGTTTTGTATAATTGTTGTCATTAGCTAGTGTGCACTTATCAATCACAACAATAGCCTTTCTCATAACGATGTTAATTAAATTATAAAAATCTACAGAAGATATTTAAGTTAACGTGAATAAGCTTTTACACACCCAATTCAAGTAGTAGTATAATCACATAAAATGAACATATCACTGATAAATAGTAAAAAAAACACCAATGATCATTATTCAAACTAACCATAGTAGCTAATTGTTGGAAAAATCTGTCCTAATTCAATCACTGTATGTTCAATACTTTGCATTGTTTCTGATCGAGATAATAAATACGAATCAGTTTGATCAGGATTGATATATTTTTGAGCAAGTCCTAAATTTGAATTCATCGGGATAGAAGATGATCCTAAACTGCCTAAACCATCCAATCCATCATTTCCTTGTTTTTCACTAAGTAAAGCTTCTCTAGCACGTTCATCATCCTTGAGTGGGGAAAAAGAAAAATAGAAGGAAAGAATTTTAAAGGACCTGCCACTGATATAGTGAACCAATCAGATGTGGTCAAATGAGAAGGTCATTTGATAACTGACAAAGCATTCTAAAGAACGAATACAGATCATTGGTCAATAACTGGATCTATTCTATAAGGAGATAGATCATATATATACACAAGTATTGGTATATATTATTCGGCAGTCAAATAGACTTTCTCATTTACTATTAACTTTAGCCAGTTCGGGGGGGCTGTTAGCACGTTCGCGATCACATCCAAGATATTGCACATCATAACCAGCAGTCAGGTGGTCATACAAGGAATTGAAGCTCTTAATTATTGGAGACGTTAGATCCCCTAGAACTCACTTGATAAGGTCCTAATTTTGGATTTCATGCTTTCGCGAATGGGCTGATCAGTTGAACTTGAGATTACAATTTCCACTGCGAAAATCCTTGATGTGTTATTTTGGTACAGCTATTTTTCGTGGCTCTTCCAAGGACGTTTCTCTCATGTAGAAATAAACTCGATTTGTGTACTTGTGAACCTCATAATTTCTGGGTGCTTGTAGAATACATTCTCTACGCCATATCAAAACTTCTTCCTTCTACTTAGTGGGGCCTTGGGACGCTCGGATTAGAGTAACCTATCGTGTCATTGGATCATTTGTCTTCGCTCTCGTTTACCGACCAAGGTGAACTCGTAATAGTTTCAAGCATATCAGTTATCGAGCATAACATCTATAGTATCTACAAATGCCCCTATGCTAATAATGATAATGTCAGCACTAATCATTAACTCCAAGATGCAACCCCTACAGTCCTAGTGAGTAGACGTGAACCCCGTGGGACTCAATCTAATATCGTGTGAGGGATATCAACTGCATAGAATGAATGAGGAGTTGGTTAATATCGTGAATTGATTGAAGTTAGACATGAACACTGTTGGATACCACAGCTCACTGGTCTAGGAATTAAGTGTTCACATGCCAGACTGAATGCCCTAGATTTGGTTACCGAATAAGGGATCATAGATAATCACTATTGACGAATCTCATACCTAAACGAAACAGCTATCCAGTGCTTCAAGGTCTTCAATGATGATTTAGCTAAGATTAGTTCATGATTTAAAAAAAAATACTATGAAACTTCTAACAGTCTTCGTTTACAAGAATTTGTTAACAAGATAATGTCTGCTTGACTAGTACATGATTTTAGCCAGGATAAAATGCAAATGCACTGATTAATCCATTTGTCTATCAATCAACACGAATAGATAAAATACAAAGAAGAGATACTAGAAGAGAATTTTTTTATAGAAATTCCAACTCTGGATTTTTGTTGTTCTTGTAACGTTGGCTTGAATAATTTACAGCTAATTCTTATTGCTTGAGTATTCTCTGGACCACAAACACACTGGAGAAGTTCCGAAGAATCAAGAACACGGTGGAACAGGAAGAAGATTATATTCCAAATAGTAAGGTTAGATGGAAATAAAGAAGCCGAAGGCGAAACAGATTCAACGTTAGTTTCTTTATAGTGTTTACATGGGAAGCTTCTGGATAGTAATTCACGTGATCGACTGGATTAGATTTAGCCAATCAGCGTGCAGGGAAACAACACGAGAATTTTCTACCATGTTATCCAAGAATCGATCAAGCGCTGATTGGATGATAGGAAATTAGCCAATCAGCGCGCAGCAACGTAGTCATGCTTTAATTCTATGTTCCACTTACAGTTGTACAATTCGATTGGATAATAATCCACAAGTTGCTTTCAATTCCTTGTTCTGATTATGAAAAGATCAAATGAAAAGTGCTCGTCACTTGCTATGCTTGAATACTATTTCGAGTTCACCTTAGTCGATAAACGAGAACGAGACAATGAACCAGTCACACGGTACGCTACTTTGATCCGTTGACAGAAAACAACTAACGAAAAAGTCTTGATACACCGTAGAAAGTGTATTCTACAAACACCCACCTAGCACACAAATCGCGTTTATTTATACATCATAGAAACGTCATTGAGAAAGTCACAAAAATAGCAAACTAAAATAACACAGTAACCAATCATAGCCAAGGATTTTGCTGGTGGGAAATGTAATCTCAAGGTCAACTGGTCAGCCCATGAATAAAATCCGAAACAAAGACATTTATCAAGCGATTTCTAGGGATCTAACATTCCCAACAACAATGTTCAATATATGTACTGAACATTAGAAGAAAAAAAACAATCAAAAGATGAACAGTAACATTTGATATATGATAATTTGAATTTTGAAAGACACAAATGGGTCTTACTTTTAACAAAACTGACGGAATAACAACATGTGGCAGAGGAGGTTTTCCAGATGTTGATGATGATGATGTTGATAGTGTTTCCGATGATTTATACATATCATTCAATGAACTATATTTACTTTTACGTGCATTTTGTACTCTGAGATTTTCTGAACGATACTCAAGTACTCCTCGAAATTGATTAGACATTTTAGCAAGATGTGTTTGTAAAACCATCAATACAGAACGAGAATGTGTAGATTGTTGTTTCCCATTAGATAACTATGACAATAGTAAAATAAAAAAAAAGTAGTAAGATTTGGTCAATGAAAAGAAACTTCGATGGCATGAAATTAGAATATTAAAACAGTTTTCATGTAAAATAAGACTTTAGTGTGCATGTAAAACTTCTTAGACGACGTATATTGCTGTATTAGGAGGAATTCAGTCAGCTACAATGTAGAAAATTCATACGTACATACATCAGTCCAAGTTGCCATACCACATGGACACAGTCAGACAGTCAGTCAGTTACAATGTAGAGAGATGCAATTTTCAATTCTAATCCCATAGTTGTAAAGATAGCAGAAGTATTAGCAATAATGGAGATTATGGATTCAACAGGTAGAGGAGGGAGGGAATTTCGGACCAATCGGAACTTAGCTGTTGACTAGAGGTCATTAGCGCGGAATCTTATTCTGATAAGTGTTTTGTTTGGTCATGTGATCATTGATGAGCGATTAAGGGGTACCAAAAAAATCCTAACTGAAATTATTAATTTGTACAGAGTCACAAAATTACCTAAATGAATTACAATACACTTTTTATCAGTAATACACTTTGAAATAAACTGCTAGAAATCTCGGATGGACAACTAAGTGATTAAATAAAATGAGCGAACCATAGGATGAAGCATTAAAGTAGATAATGAATGATGATCGTGAGTATATTATGAGAATATTCGAGAATTTTAGTAGTATATTATTCGTATATTTGATTTTTATGCTCACAAGTGTCGGTGACTCATCTCCGTGATTGATCAAAACAACTGAAAGTGTTAACATCTTTAGTACATTCGAGGTCAAAAGTTATCGTTTATCACAATCATTACATAGAGTGATTGTGTACGCATAAACTGTTTTTGAGTTTCAAGTTTGCAACTAACGTGAATGCCTGCATTTTTCTTAACCTTTTATTTACGGTTACACAGTATCCCACTACTGACTATCGGTACGGTTATCGCAAAAGTGCTGCCTAACGTCTTTCCTCTGGATCTCAAGACTGGACTCAGATTAATCACATCGCAATCTGCTATCGTTGGTATGGTTGTGTACAAAAGTGCAGGTCCTTTTGGACCTTGTTTGCATTAATCTTATCTTACGTTTCAGTGGTCAACGGATTCATCTACGTAAACTGATTGATATCAGTAAATCGGTTGTAACTTATGCTGTAATTAAACTTCAAAACCAACTCTAGGTTCAAGGCTAGTTACCAACCCACCGTAAAGATGAGCACCGGCTGCAATTGTACGACGTTATGAAAATGGCGGGTAAAGTCTCTTGAAGCCTTGCGAAACATCCAGCTTATAGGTACTAGGTTCATACAGACTCATTAAAACTCGCTGAGACACGTCGGTCTACTCCGAGTAATTACAAGTTGCACGATAAGATAAAATTGTTACGTAATCAAGTGGTATAAAGTTTGCATAAGGACCGAGAAACATGGAGACGGGAGCATGCTAACGAGTTAGGAACAGCAGCTGCATTTAGTAACTATCGGAAGCTCTTTTAACTTATCTGAGCCACCAGTAGCAAGAAGTCTGGTGTAAGTGAAACAATCTGTGAAGCTGATGGGACATCAATCAATAACATCTACCGGCGTCTAAAACGATATATAGTTTCTCAAGGGACATTTCGGTTGGTCTGCTGATCATATATTTCCCCTCTGCAAAATGTTAGAACATCGCCACATATCGCAGGTCAACAATCGTTGCGTTTCTTGGCATCAGGACTGCCGCCGATTCGCTGGAGAGGACAGGCTCTATGACAAAACCCCTGGGCGGTTAGGCGGGGGTTGCCCAATCTAAGAAGTCTTCTTCAATTTTGCCATCAACAACGTTCTGGAAATAGCTCTGATGGATTTATAGAATGGTGTGAGGAGAAAGACTTCTCGACCTTCAGTATGCGGATGATATTTCCTTACTTTGCGACAATACCCAAGCGATGCAATCCGCGGTTAGTCCATTGTCAATTAGTGTCCTTAGGTAAGGCATGCGCTCTGGACCATCTAATTGTAGAATACTTTTACAAGACCTGCAGGACCCTAAACCTTCACTCACTCTTGTTACTTATCAAACAGAAGTAGTCGAAGGGTTCATGTATCTGGGTAGCGATGCAAGTGCTGGCGGTAGAGTGAGTAGTCAGACCAACTCACTTATGACGAAAGCTAGAGCGGCTTATGCCAATCTGGACCATCTTAGGCGCCTTTGTGATGTTAGTCTGGTTGTAAATGATTGAGTCTACAATGAGTTGGTGAGAGCGATTTTACTCCATGCTTGTGAAACCTAGTCTTTCCAAGTTGAGGATGTTAAGCTTGATAATCATCGTCTCCGAAGGATTGCTAACATTCAGTGGCAACAACATGTTAGTAACGCAGAGGTTCGGCAACGTGTGTTCGGGCACAATGATAATAATTCGATTGGTGTCACAATCTTGCAACGCGGACTCCAATAGCTTATACATGTACTACGAATTTTGATCCAGTCAGATACACACCAAGGCTGGGACTTGTTTGAATAAGTACAGAGGTGATCAGTCTATGACATGATATCGAGATATTAAAGAAAGCTGTATAGAGCTGGTAGAATTGGCCAGTGAATATTGACGTTATGAACAACAAAACCAACATACGTCTGTCTATATAAACTAATTCATGAAGAAAGAGTGAGAGATTTTGTCATAAAAAAATACACATAGTTTAACCACTACTCACTTGAGATTTGGAAATTTCTTGTAAATTAGCAATACGATTATTCAAATTTGCTATAGACTCTTTGATAACATAAGTTAAATGTTGCATTTCTGCACTATGATCATCGAATAATGTTTGTTTACGAGCTAATGCATTTAATTGTTCTAATTTAGAAAATGTATTCGTCAAATCTTGACTAATCATTGATGCTGCTTTCATAAATTGTGATCGTTGACTAAGTAGAGTAGTAGATTTTTTTTTATCCAATGAATAATCTTGACTTTTTATTAATCCATTTGGAACATTAGATTTACTGGGAATAGTATTTTCATTTACTGGGTCATTGGAGTTAGCTTTAGATAGTCCCAAAGATGTATGATCTGTAAATTGATTTCCAAGTGAATTGGATGATAAATCATCTTGACGTTTTAAGTCATTTAATTTCGATCGATTAAGTTGAACGGAACGTATAAAATCAGAGGTACGATCAACTGCGGAACACATCTGAAATGAATAAAATAGATTTTTATTTTCTAAGAGAAGAGCAATTTTCAAAAATAAACTACTATAAATGATTAAAAGATGTTAAAATCATGAATATATTGTCTTAACTAAGTACACTAAAGCACAGACATTATGTCGAATAGGGCAACAGGCATCATTAGCTGGGAATTTAGGATGTCGAGCCATCGATGTGTGCTGCGTCTCGGAAACGCGCATACAGGATCCTAGTAAAGTCATTAATCTGATTTCACCTTACCAAAATAAAGAAGAAGCTCGATTTACTCTGCGTGTATCCGGTAGCCCAGATAACGGCGACCGTCTGCTGCAGCTATACTCAGATAACCATCTACTCCTAGTAAACACTAACTTTAAGCATAAGGTAAAACACCTTTTGACCTGGTGACCCCCAAAAGCCAACCCAACTAGATCACATCGCTATAAGCCATCGGTAGAGAGGCTCTGGTGAAGACTGTCGCTCATTCTGGAGCACTTGTTTAGACTCAGACCATGCTCTAGTACGAGCGAGTATTTGCTTGCGTCTCACTGGACATAGAAAAATATCGCAAGAAAACCTCTTAGAGCTCTACTTAAAGATAAAGCCAGGAATATAGTTCAAGAACAACTAGAAAAACAGTTAGGCAGCCATATAGTAAGTGATGCCCACCCTGAGGCAGCTTGGAATGACATCAAAAAGGCTATGGGAACAGCAGTGATATCTTCTACTATGGCAAACCATAAGGTTAGGGAGAAGCCGTGGATTTCAGCAGCATCTACGGAACTGATGGATGCCCGAAAGCTCATTCCGCCTGGCTCTGAGCACGATGAGGAGCGGCATCAGCTTAGGCGCAGGCTAATAAAAACCCCTCGCAATAATCGAGAACAGTGGTGAATAGCGAAAGCAAGGGAGATGGAAAAGGCAGCGGTGATAGGTAACAGTGGGCAACTATTCAGACTCATCAAGGAAACTGGTATTAGGAATCCGACTGTCAGTGAAACTGTCTCGGAAAAGGATTGGCTTATTATTCGTTCTCAATCCGGGAGATTGGATCGACGGGCAGAACACTTCAGAGAACTGGCCTTCCGCCACACTTCGGTTACCCACGATCTCCAGTCATCCTGAATGGTAAATCGACGTAAGCCCTCCGAATCTTCATGAAGTTGAAAAAGCTATACGAAATCTGAAGCGAGTCAGAGGAGCAGGACCTGGTAGATTGACCCCTGAGATTTTTAAGGATGGTGGTCCAGTTTTAACAATTAGACCGACTGAGATCTTAGTTAAAATCTGAGAACTGGACGTAATACCATCCTAATGGTCTCAATCCCTGATTGTCCCAATTTATAAGAAAGGACAAAAGTCTTCCTGTGACAATCACACGGGAATCAGTCTAACTGATATAGTTTCTAAATTGTTAGCCTTCATTATACTTAGACGTCTGACTGAAGCTCGTGAAGAGCAGACTAGAGAAAACCAGGCTGATTTTCGACCTGGACGTGGTTGTATAGACCACATCTCTACACTACAACAGATCCTGGAACACAGACACACATTTGGGCGTCCTACAATAGTTGTCTTCCTGGACCTAAAGCGGCATTTGACTCAGTGGATTGTGAGGTTCTGTGGCAGTGTCTGTCATTGAAAGGTGTACCAAAGAAGTACATTAACCTTATACAAGCTCTCTACTCGAACACCACTGGTCGAGTGAGAGCTTATGGCCAACTGTCATCGGAATTCTCTACTTCCAGTGGTGTCCGTCAGGGATGTCCACTTTCCCCATTTTGTTCAATTATGTCATAGACATGCTGCTAGATATAACTTTATCGTCGTCTGAGTTTTCAGGAGTAGACCTTGTACTAGGTGGCACGCTTATTGAGTTAGGATATGCCGATGACACACTCCTACTTGGTGAAGACGCTGACAAAACGCAGTCTTCTCACCACCGTGAGCAACAATGCAAGCATGTTCGGAATGCGGTTTCCCCCCTAGAAGTGCAAAATGTTGTTTCAAGATTGGGTTTTATAGGTACCTGAACTAGTGATAGGGAGTGAAGCAGTAAGCATGTTGACTGCTTCACTCATCTCGGGAGTCTCATCAGTGCTGATGGACTCGTGAATGACAAAATCTCAACGCGGATACAGGAGGCCCAAACACTGACTGCCTCGTTGACCTATATTTTGCGATGTAGGAATATCTTGGACGAAAACTAGGGGCGGCCAAATCGAAAACATGGCACAAATCCATGAAGTCACTGACACGTGGTCTGAGTCATGTTGGTAGATGTAGGCTACCTGGTTTTGGTCCGTGAGATGATAATAATCGATTTTTAGATACCCTGAGCGACATGGCTCAAAACCGTCTGCAATGACACAGCTGCATTTACTCTCTGTCCTATGAAATTCTAACCTTCTGAATTCCTCATCACCTCCGTCTTTCCCTTTCTAAATTTACCTCACTGAAATATACTTATTGAATAACATCTTCGAAGCCTAATCTCTCCGATCACTTCCAATACTATTACTACCTCCACTACTATTGGATTTGAATTGACAATCACATCTCTGTGCTAACGTGGTATGGCAGTTAAGACTGCTGTACTTACGTGCATAGTTCTACGTTGATGTTGATGATGATGATGATGATGATGACATTTCGAACAATCTGGTTACACAGTCAGTCGGCAACAACGTAGAACTTTGTATGTGCGTACATCAGTTTCAGTTGCCATACCGCATTAACACAGAGATGCAACTGTCACTTGAAATCCCATAATTGTAGAGATAGTAGAAGTATGAGCAGTAAATTTGAGAAGAGAAATATGAAGGTCATAATGACTCAGATTAGAATTTGGTAGAACACAAAGTATGGCTACACATATATCCGTCAAGGTATTTTATATGGAAATCAATAAAAGTTAATTCAATGAACTTTCAAATAAGAATAAGGTGATAATTGTTAATCAATGAGAGAGAGAGAGTTAACATAGCATACAAATAGGAAATTGTCACATTACCCTTATGTATAAAGAAACAATTTTTTACCACCTTTAATTTGCCTTGATAATCTTTAAACCATTTTATAGCTTGAGATATTGTGACGATCTCCTATTCTTTCTACATTACGTCACATTTCTCTTTATTGACAATTATAACCTTATGCACGATATGCACAATTCAAATCTGTTTTTACTTTCAAATTTCAGATCTGTCTCTAACAGTGTTAGAAGAACAAAACACCTGAATAGGCTAAAATGTCCCAAAAGGTCATATAGGAGTAAACAATGCTGCCAGAAAGTAGAGTAGCTACAAAAATCCGAGGAACGATGTAGTATGATACGCAGAAATGAGGTATTTTTGTAAGACAGAGGATACCCTGATGGAATGGACAGTCCGAAAAAGCAAGGCAAGATATTTTAAACGGTAAAACAGATATTTTGGCAGTCAGGAGTTGCCCTAACCCAACAAGTAGATTGGTGACTAGGAAAAGATATTGAGTTTAGGGTCATCCTTGAGGGAGTAGCAAGGCCTCTCATATGTCAGATTGTGATGAGATTCCGTAGGTCCGTAATAAAATAATTTAGACACAGCAACTGAGTTAGGAATTAATAAATAATTTTAGTGATATTTAGTCAGAGAATACTAATATTTACGCCTTTAGTTGTGCGGTTGAGATACTGAGAGTGGAATGCATTTACAACATAGGAAATAGTCCTGGTAGGTTACCAGGCACCGATAGATTGCATTCAGGATTGCTTTTCTTCTTGGTAGTCGCTTTCGTAACCACTGAGAGATATCACACAAGCACTTTTTCAAAACTCGTGTCCTAAGGGGCTGAAAAGACCTTCATTAGTTCTGCTTCCAGGAAGGGGACAGGGAGATAGTACTTAATTACTGACGTTTTGAGATGAATCATCCGAAACGAGCCGCTCTAACGCGTGAAATCACACGACAAACTAATATCAGAACACGTTTTATGTTATAGTTACTGCTTGGTGAAAGTACTTGCCACCAGAGAATTGAGTAACTGTGTGAGACAGTGGTTTGTCTTTCTTAATGACATTCGTAAATTATAGAAAAACGTGTGACAAGGTATTCCGTGTAGGACTTGTATGTAGGTTTTGATTTAGTAATAATAAGTAGACATATTTCTAGACATGATATAGTAAGAGGAACAATCTTTGGATAAGAACTTTCGAAAAGTAATATCACAGTACGACATTGGATCACCTGTTGTTCTTATTTAAATTTAATGGATTACCGCAGATGTTACATCTTGATTAACCCTATTAGTGGAAGGAGTCATTTTAAAATGAATCATTGGCGATTATAGTAAACCACCTATACGCCAATGAAGATAACAATACATCCTAAGCAAATCAAAAGCGAGTAAAGGGCAGATACCTTGAGGTAAAAAAAAGGAGAGACGAGAGAAAACGTTGGTGACAGCCCCAAGGGAAAACGCTTTGAAATGAACTTTATTTTATAATGAAATTACCAAAAGAACTATTCGCTTTTACTTAGTGACGATTTTTTCACTTCTTGAAACTTAAATTTCTTAACGAAAGAGAACGGATCGAAAAAAACAAGTCACTGTTTGTGTATTTTAACAGCTGAGATCTTTCAACTAACATTATTATATGTGGAAGGCAGGGCCGAACATTGTCGAACTATTATTTCAGGAAAGTAAGACTCAAAAACAGCCTGCAAGTGTTGTAACGAATAAGGAATACGTGATATTGAAGCTATTGCAAGTATCAATGAAAATGTAACACGGTGTAGAAGCGTTTTACTTACAATTATTCCCTAAGATATACAAGCACAACGTAGTAACGTAATTTTTAAAAGTACCGCATTCCTCAGGACCTCAAAAAAATTTTCATGTGGAAGGAAGATGATTAACTACTAGTTATCTGCATGTGTTTGTAAATTTAATTTATTTTATATCAGAATCATGTCTCTTATCCCTGATGCAACTGACAGAATGAAACATTCAACAATAGTGAAATGAGTGATTACTGAAAACGCTTTGTTTATCTCTCTCACGAGCTGGAATAAACCAGTTGAATTCTTTGCTACCGCCTGTCATTAATTTAGCTTGGTTCCAGTTACTCAGTACTTCCTGGTGGATAGAAGTCTAACTACTCGACTGCACTGATTTCTTTCAAGTAATTCAATTACTAAGTCCATGTAGAATCCACTTTGAAGGCTTTGTTTCGGGAAAATACCTCCATATCTATATTTGCACTATGTTCTTACTGACTCTTTCGATGCTACATTTCGGTACTCTGTTTAATCAGATTTTGTGGTGTTAATATTTGTATTTTGTTATTACTTACTTACTTACTTACGCCTGTTACCCCAAATGGAGCATAGGCCGCTCACCAGTTTTCTCCAACCAACTCTGTCTTGGGCTTCCCTCTCCAGTTCTGTCCAATGTTTGTTCATTCCTCTCATATCTTTCTCTATTTCTCGGCGTAGTGTGTTCCTTGGCCTTCCTCTTTTCCTTTTACCTTGAGGGTTCCATGTGAGGGCTTGTCTTGTGACGCAGTTAGGTGCTTTTCGTAGTGTATGTCCTATCCACTTCCACCGCTTCTTCCTGATTTCCTCCTCCATCGGAATCTGGCTTGTTCTCTCCCACAGTTAGTTGTTGCTGATGGTGTCTGGCCAACGAATACGAAGTATTTTGCGTAGACAACTGTTAATAAATACTTGTATCTTCTGGATGATGGCTTTGGTAGTTCTCCATGTTTCCGCTCCATACAGTAGAACTGTATGGACATTCGTATTTAAAATCCTGATTTTGGTTTTTGTTGAAAGTTGTTTGGAGCTGCAGATATTTTTCAACTGTAGAAATGCAGCCCTCGCTTTGCCAATCCGCGCCCTCACATCTGCATCGGATCCACCTTGACTGTCGATGATGCTGCCCAGATATGTAAAGTTGTTAACGTCCTCGAAAGCATCTCCATCAAGCGTGATTTGGTTGGTGCATGTTGTGTTGCATCGGAGAATTTTGCTTTTTCCTTTATGTATGTTGAGACCTACTGCTGCAGAGGCTGCTGCTACACTGGTCGTCTTCTCTTGCATTTGTTGTTGAGTGTGCGACAGAAGAGCCAGGTCATCTGCGAAGTCCAGATCGTCCAGCTGCGTCCTAGCTGTCCATTGGATACCGTGCTTCCTTCCAGATGTTGACGTCTTCATAATCCAGTCGATCATCAGTAGTAAAGGAAAGGGTGAGAGTAAATAACATTGCCTGACACCGGTCTTCAACTAAAACGAGTCTGTCAGATGTCCTTCATGCACAATTTTGCATTTGAGAATTCCGTATGATGTAAACTATTTTCTTAGGCACACCGTAGTGTCGAAGAAGCTTCCACAGTGTTTTCCTATCCACGCTATCAAATGCTTTCTCGTAGTCGATGAAGTTGATGTAGAGTGGTGAGTTCCATTCAATTGATTGTTCCACAATGATCCGTAATGTAGCAATTTGGTCAGTACACGATCGATCCTTATGAAATCCAGCCTGTTGATCTCGAAGTTGGGCGTCTACGAAGTCCTTCATTCTGTTTAACAATACTCTGTTGAAGACTTTGCCTGGTATTGAAAGAAGAGTGATGCCTCTGTAGTTCTCACACTTGCTCGAGATCGCCTTTCTTTGGTATTTTGATGAGGTATCCTTCTTTCCAATCTGATGGTACTTGTTCCTCATCCCAAATCTTCTTGAAGAGGATGTGAAATATTTTCGCAGTCGCTTCTACATCTGCTTAAATTGCCTGTGCTGGAATGTTGTCTGGTCCTGCTGCTTTGCCGCTCTTGATTTTCCTGATGGCCATACTGATCTCCTCAATGTTCGGTGCGCCAATATTAATTGGGAGGTCCTTGGATGCCGCTTCGATGTTGGGTGGGTGCAGCTGGAGCTGGTCGATTCAATAGTTCCTTAAAGTGCTCTACCCACCTATTTCGCTGTTCGTCAGTGTTGCTGATTATTTTCCCTTCCTTGCTTTTCACTGGTCGTTCTGGTTTACGATAGTTTCCGGCGAGCTTCTTTGTAGTTTCGTACAATTGTCTCATGTTTCCTTCTCTTGCAGCCTTTTCCGCCGTCATTGCTAGATCTTCCACATACTTTCGTTTGTCAGCTCTGATGCTCTTCTTCACTTCCCTGTTTGCTTCTGTGTATGCAGCTTGTGCGGTGACTTTCCCTGCTCTTGTTCGGCTGACATTCACTGCTGCCTTCTTGTTCCTCTCTTCAATTTTTGCGAGAGTATCAACAGAGATCCATTCCTTGTGATGGTGCTTCTTGCGACCAAGGACCTCCTGACATGTTGAAGTGATTGCCTCCTTAATCCCTTTCCAATTGTACTCCAATGTTGCTTCCTCTCCATTGAGTAGATCCTGAAAGGCCTGGAACCTATTGGTAAGGGCTATCTTGAATTCGTTGAGTTTTACGGTATCCCGAAGAAAGGCCGTATTAAACTTCTGTGATGTTGTCTGCCCCGTCGTCCAGTGCTTCTT